TGTAATGGGACACGTGTCGCTCCATGATGGATCACTTTCTAGAGGATCAACTTCACAGGATCACTCTAAGAGGATCGGACGCGTTAAGTCATCAATAGTTGTTCAGGTTTCCTTTTAAGTTTTCAATTTTGGTCTTTGTACTTTGAAATTTCGTCAATTTGCTCTATGTACTATTAATTCCACATGGTCTCTTTTTGCTTTAACAATCATGACCCTCACGTTTTAGTTATTATATTCTTGTTTTCTTAAAGTTTTGTTATATTATCAAAAAATACCTTTTAAATTTAAATTTATTTTTATTTTTATCAACACTATTTTTCGTTTTTTTCTGATGGAATTAATTCAAAAAAATTTATTTAGAGAGTTCCGTTGTAAGAATAAAGATAATTATTTGTGATGTTTTCTTACTTAATTTTTTATATAATTAACTTTTACCGTTTATCTAATCTAATATTAAAATGTGAATTTTTCGAGTATAAATTTTTAGTTATTTTTTCAAAAGATTTTTCAGAGCATCTCCAACAGTGTATTCAATTTTTTCGAACGTGCCAAATTTTGAGTAAAAACTTTCTTTGATATCAAGTGATCAACGGAAAATTTTGAAACTTTATCAAACCACCGGTCCACTAGGAGAATGAACGAGCGATGTCCGGCTAGTCAACACAGCCAATGTAATTTTTCTTTTTCTTTTTTTTGTTTGCCTTGAGGTGTGTTTCCCGAGCGGTCCACCGGCCAAGTGTAATTTTTCAATTTTTTTTGCCTTGAAATAGTAATCTAGGAGGACAAATCTAGCAACACAATAGTGATTTGATAAAAAGAAAAGTCGGTTTCCTCAGTTTGATTGAAAGAAAAGTAAAATCTTTCAGATTTGATACCGATTTGATAAACCGTTGGAAGCTGAAAAAGGACACCTTTTCATCAAATTCAAATTTGAATGAATAAGTTTGATCACGGTTGGAGATGGGTCAAAGTTCTCTTATAATTTGATTATAGTATTATTTTGTTCAATTATTATTTATAGTGCAGTACTAATTGTGGTGTGTTTTGGTTGGAGTTTTGGATTGAGTTTTCAAAAACTAAATTTTTGTTTTTTCGTATTTTTTTATTTTTAGTGAATATTTTTAAAAATTTAAGCATTTATTTTTTTTACTTTTTTTAGAATATACCTTACTTAGATGTATCTAAAAAGTAAAAAATTTGTGGGAAAAAATTTTTAAAAAATTAATAAATGCATAAAAATACTCAAAAAATATATGAAATTCTCATTTTTTTTTTTTTGTATTTAGTGAATTTTCAAAAAAGATTTTTTTCACAAATTATACTTTTATGTGTATTTATGTTAGGTGTGTCTAAAAAATTAAAAAAAAAATTGCTTAAATATTAAAAAATTTAGTAAAATAAAATATGGAAAACAAGAAAGCAAAATTTTCTAAAAATTATTTTTGGAAAATCGAAAACAGCAATAGTGATTATATTTACTTCTTCAACATATCTAAGTTCATATATTTATATTTGCATGACTAAGAATTAGGCTCTAATACTAATTTTAAACAACAGATGACAAATTTACAGAGATTTTATAATTAGGTCTGATAGAGATATAGGGCTTATAGTAACTAATAAAACTTTTAGGGGATTTGTTTGGGAATGTCCTAAAATAATGCACTTTTTGAACTAAAAAGTAGGAGGAAAAAATGGTTGTTGAGATAAACTTTTTTAAAACTTTTTTTTTTACGAAAAAATGTATATTAAAATATTGTATAAAAAGTAAAATTAACCATAATTCCCCTTCTATATCTAAATGCCTTTGACTGGATGGTCCAGGAGCCCAAACGGTGGGCAGTAAAACATGTATAAGAACAGATTCCCCTGCAATTCGAGATCGGACTAGACGGTGTTGTTTGGCCGCATAGGGGCCCACCAACAGGGTCACGTTTTGATAATCGGACCGGGTTAATATGTAGAACTCGTGAGTATCTGTATGCTTGTAAAAAATCAATGTTGATCGGATATCGATAGCTATTTGATCAGATTAGTTTTGTTCAACCGTTAAATTTCTTCCCGTCCAATTTTTTTTAGCAAAACTGATTTTGATCATATTAGTTATCGTATCCGATCAAATATGAATTTTTTACAGGCATATAAGTACTTGATGAGTTCTACACATTAACGGTTCAGATTATCAAAACGGGATCGTGAATGGCCACGGGCCGACAACATTGTCCTTGTATATCATGAGGTGCATCCGGCTTTCTAATGGTGCTGTTTGGCGTAGCTCTGTTAAAATAGATATAGATTATAGCTTAACCTAGATTATAGATTATGACTTTAATCAGAAAGCTATTAACTGTTTTGGTATAGCTGTTGGATTATAGATTTAAGTTTCTGAGTAGTGTTTTGTTAAATAACGTGAAGTAGCTTTTTCAATTAATTTTTTATTTTTTATTAATTCATTATTTGCTACATTTCTCAAAAAAATATATATATATATATTTTATAGTCCTTGGGTCTTTTTTCTATTTTAAAAAATAAAAAAATAAAAAAAAATTTAAAGGTAGATAACCGTAAAATTTAACATGTTACAGCAGAAGCTGATAATCAGAAAGCAAGGGGTGAGCAGCTTCTCAGATCAGCTTTTTTTGACGTAAAAATACAGTTGTTAGAATCAAGAAACTGTTTGAAATAAGTTTAACCAAGCAGTCCAAAAAATAACTTTTTTAAAAGACAGAAGCCATAAGTTTGGCTCAAAAAGCCCCACCAAACACCCTCAATGTGTGCCACACTATAGACAACACATCATTCAATCCACCCTTTTGGACTTGTACTTTTTTTTTAATTTATTGTTTTTTATGTTTTTTTTTTTGTGAATAGTGATAATTTTTGACTTTTTAAAAATAATTTTTGACTTGTTATCCTTTTTTCATTGGATGCCATCAGCCTTAAATTTTTTTATAGTTTATTTTTATATTTCCTTCAAGACTAAAATTGATTTGGAATTAAATCTTAAAGGACTTTTATTATTTATTTATAGATGGTATAAACAAATAGGTTTGAATCATGAGGGACTTAAATTAATACAACACAAATAGAGTGAAATTTCATGAGGGACTTAATAATACAATTAGAATTAATGGATTAAATGAACATATGTCAAAACTTGAAGGATCTGTATACAAATTAACCTTTTTTTAATTTTTTTTTATAAATTTCCCTATTATTTTTAATGAAGGAAGAAAGTGGAGGAAAAAATATCGCGTGACAAGTCACGTGGCAGACCGCCATAGTTTGCCCCCCTGAGCAAGTCTGTTTTTTAACAGTGAAACCCTAGTTCCGGAAATCTATAATAAAATAAAAACTGTGTTTTATTCCATACAAATCAATTCCGAAACGCTACAAGAATCCAGCGAAATGTCCATTTCATCCCTTCCTAACTCTGAAATTTCTCAGGATCACAATGGTGGTTCTCTCTCTCTCATCTCTCTCTCTAACATACAATAAATATGTGTTCATTTGAAAATCCCCTTTGTGGGGGGTTTTTGGGGGCGCAATAGCAATCTTCTTGTTTGTTTTTAACAATCCTCCTGTTCTTCCAATGGCAATTTCAAGCTATAAATGGGGCAAATTGCTTTTCAATGAGATTTATTCTTCAAATCTAGATGATATAATTGCTTATTCATAATTCATACTTCAACAATGGTTAGGCTTAAAACCCTCATGAAACCAGATTTTTGTTAAAAAAAAAAAGTTAAATTTTAGAATTGTTTACAGAGAAGCCCAAATAATTGTGAGAACCATTCTTAGGAATTAGGTCTTAGTTTTTGAGAGCCGGTAAGCAATTTAACTAATTTTTAGGTGTCCTATAAGGCTTTAATTTTAATACCAAGTCTAAACTGCTTATTTTATGATATCTTCTTGCTTTTCCTTTTCACACTTACTCTTAAAAGTTGTATTTGCAAGAGTTCTCACACAATTTTAATTTCATAGTAGTTTGGATATGTGTGTTAATTGTTAATGTATAGCTTTCCTGCTTTTCCTTTATGCTTTCGTGGTAGTGGGTCATTTGGTATCCCAAATGTAGCATTCTCTCTCTATAAAGAGAGAGTTCATTACTTCTTTGTAAATTAATACAAACAAATCAATAATACTCATTTAATACTACTGGTATTTATAATATGGTAATCAGAGCTAGGTTAAACAACCTAGTCCATTCTGCTTCACCGGCGGGCGGCAAGTCTTCGCCTTGGCCGCCCGCGCGACCTCTACACATACCTGAGATCGGACTGCCGAAGCCTTGAAGAAATGAGCAGATACCTCCGGTCCTATGAAGAAGTGACGTTCTTGTTTCAACAACTTCAAGGTGAACACACCACCTCCACTGCTTCGGATACTCCTCCCCACACATCACCCACCGGTCCTCCCAAGAATCGACGCAGCCCTCCACCACCACCGGCCACCGCGTTTTCACCACCGGAGGGAGCCGGCCGTTATTCCAGATCTCGAAATTCTCCGATGCAGATGTAGTTTTTGCCACCACGATTGTCGCAACATCAGCAACACCCACATCTTTTCGCGACCTCTTTCTAGCAACAGTTTCCGATCACCGTCGCCAACAGATTTCTCGAAATTCCCAGGCAAAGGGTTTCTTGGTCATAGCTTCTCCGCAAATACCGCTGTTTCTAATGTCCGACCGAACCCGTCATCACCAAGTGTAATGGGACTGTTTTTTCTCAATCCCGCCCCCGAACTCTTCGAGTCCCTCTCTTCGAGTGGAACCAATGGCTGAGATGATGCCTAGACAAAACGACGTCGTTTTGATACCAAAAAAAAAAAAAAAAAATCAGAATTTGCAGATTTGCAGATCGAGAGAGGATGAGGAAGAAGAAAGTGGGATGATATCTTGAAGGTAAAGGACCTATTCAGCCATGCCTTCCAACTTCCACTTCACCTTCCCTTCCTAGCAATCATCTCTGCCCTGCCTTCTGTCATCTGTGGTTGCTTCTGGTTCTTGCACAGCACAAAATTCCTTCCTCCACTTGAACCTACCGCCTCTGATGGATTCAGAGCTGCAGAAAATTCAAAATTCAAACCCAGGAAGTTCCATTTTCTTCTTCATCTCTCAAACCCATTTTCTCTGCAAATACACAAATTTTCATTCAAACCCAGTTTCTCTCAAATCCACTCTCTTCTTCCTCATCCTCTCTCTCGATCTGCAAACTCTGAATTTTTTTTTTTTTTTTTTTTTTTGGTTGATTTTTTTCACCAAGTACATACATACTCTTGGTGCTAGCACTGCTCTAGATTGTATTTCCGGAAACTAGGTTTAGACGGTTATTATTATGCAGGTTTTCAGATGCTGGTATAATTAAATGGAGGATATGTCCTGGGAGATGTAGCAGGATACATATAACTGGCCCTAATAGCTGTGGTCTAAGGCTTTGTTGAGTTGAGTTTTTGAGGTATGGGGACTCTGATGGTGTATCATTCTTGTTAACATCTCTTGTAATTGTACTGAACGGTAGTTAATATGGAGGCTTTGGAATGAGGGCATAATTTCTTTACATCTGTGGGTGAGAATTCTTGATACTGGGACCTTTTCTCCTCCTCCTCTTCTCTCCTGTTTTTCGATCTGGCAAATTTGTGTTTTCAAAAAGGAACCCATCTTTTATACTCTGGAAATGCCAGTCTGTTTTGTCCACTTTCTCCATCCCAAAGTGTTATTTTTAAGAGATTTACATACTTTTCTTGTGTATTTTTGTTGAGCCTTTTTACCGTGTGGTAACATGGCTTTGGTTGCGTACAAAACTTAATTTTCTGCCCTTTCTTATTTTTCTAATGCCATGTTGCAAATTAGTTTTGGAAACTTTGGTTACTTAGTAACTTTGGTTACTTAGGACACTAAATTTGGTGGTTATAATAGTTAGCATTGCTTCTTTATCAACATTGAATTGCAAATGGTATTGCAGGGCCCTTTAGGTAATTTGAACAACTGACGAACAGATTTGAGTTTGAAGTTCGGTGTGCTCATCAAGTTTCATTATAGTCATCTGCTCCGGTTGCGGTGTCTTATATGTTGGCGTTTATATTGGGAGAGCAAACTTTAGGGTACGTTGTTAATAAAGCTGCAGAATTATTTTAGGACGTTGTTCTGTGGAATTTAATTTTTTCAGAGGACTCAATTTTGTTGTAAAAACATTGCAGTTTTATATTAGGATTGTGTGAAGCCTTAGAATCTTGGGATTCTTTATTATTGGTGTTAAATATGTGGCATACCGAGTATAGTTGGTATTTAGCGGCATCTTTGATAAGAAATGACACAATTTATATCTTATTTTAGTTTCTAATACACTTGGGAGATTCCATGGCTTCCAAAACTTGTGCTCTTTGTTCTCCATCTTGGAAGTTTGATTACTTTTGCTTTAATGAGTGGGGGAACTAATGTGGGGCTCACTTATAAATTAACTGATTCAGTGTTATTGTGCTGCAAAGAGTTCACTACAGGATAGTTCTCGGTGATTAGCCCATGGGTGGTTATTTACTGTTGGAGATCATTATCTAGTGAAGCTGGAGTTTTAAGGTGATATTATGACATGAAAATCCTATTTATACTATAGTCAGATTTGCGGTTGACCCAATTTATAGAAGGTGATATTATGACATGAAAATCCTATTTATACTATAGTCAGATTTGCGGTTGACCCAATTACATGCTCCAGGTTGGGAATCTTTACTGCAGCATGAGCTTGTGTAAAAGAACTTGGTCTTTCTGATGATTGGCAAGGGTTATGTAGTTCAAATTGACAAAGTGCTAGGTGATGACTCATTGCATTCAGTCTATTGATGATTTGATGTAGCAATGCTTGAAAGCTTTTGATTAGTGTTATCAGAAAACGCTAATACTTAGTGAATTACGTTTTGAAACACACATTTTGAAACATGGTATACTCATTTTAAAATGATAAAATTAGCAATCTAAAACGTTTTCAAAAGTTTTTTCAATATATTTCCTTACAACTTTTCTTATCAAATATAATCAACTAAAATTTGCAACTTTTCTTATCAAATATAATCAACTAAAATATAAGGTGAGTGAAGTTTTGATTGGACAAAATGTGAAAATGGATCATAATGCTCATATAGAAATGTGTTGTTAATCGGAAATTATTCGAAAAGTACGTTAAATTATTAAATGTTGGGGCTTTTAGTATTTTCTAAAAATTTGTGTTTGAGATGATTTATGATTTTTTTTTTTTGTAACGAAACAAATATTTATGAGAAAAAAAAAGTAATTAATTGGTGTGTAGGATGTGACATTTTGTCTTATTAACTATTTTAATATATATATATATATATGTATATATATTTATCTTTATTGACTATTTTAGCTAATTTAGCTCATCCCAAAAACCAAACAAGATTGAATAACAAACAAATTGTTATTTATTGGCTATGTTTGTGAACAAGGGTTGAGGCTAAAATAATTAATAAAGACAAAATATTAAAATAGTCAATAAGACAAAATATCACATTTTACACATTAATTAATCATTTTTTTTTTGGTCTCACAACCATCTATTTAACTATAAAAAAAATTCACAAATCATCCCAAACAAACACAATTTTTTTTCATCTCATAAAATAATCAAAAAGTTAACTAAAATAGTCATTTGTTTCAAAACTTTAAGATGTGTTTAGTTCCTAAATTTGAGTAGAGATTTATAAAGAAAAAAAAAATAAAAAGATGAGTAATCACACACCTTTTATAATTTTTTATCCTTTATTCTTTAAATTAATGAACCAAACAAAACCTAAAAAGTCTGATATTCATACCTCCATTTTTTTGGAGTACAGACAGAATTCCCAACTGACTTTTGCTCCCCACTATGCTTCAAATCTGTTCCAGACCAGAGCGAAAGCTCTAACCACACTTTCAATGTCTTTAAGCACCTTAGTAAGTAAAATGAATAAAAAGCTCCATAACATTAAAATGAATAAATAAGTAAAATATTTTTTGGAGTAGGGTTATTTTCTGACAACCTGTTTGGTCAGAGAGCGTTTTATTAGAAAATAGAACCCAGACACTAGTAGCAGATCAGATAATGGTTGGCTTTTTCCAAAAAGTGCTTTATTGAGGCATTTAGGGATTTTTCTTTCTTATTATATCATAACCAACACTAGTTGCGTTATGAGCTAAAGCATGATTTTAGAATCAAGAGTTGGTATCGCCATCGTCAATTCAACGGCGATTTTTCAGCTCCTTCGTCTTGGGATGGCAATCTGAAATCAGCCTGACGGGAACCCGACCCCCCGACCCCAATTAGAACGGTTTTTTCCCGAAAAATATCCCCTACGGGCCGGGGATGGTACTCAAAAATAAATCTCCGATGATTTTCGGGCCGGGGACGGTGATATATTTTTCACCCCCGACCCCGGCCTGTCCCCGGCCCCGACCCCGTCCTTGTTAGCTCTCCGAATCAAACTTATTATATATGCCCCTTAATAGTTAATATATAATATAACCCTCAACTATTATGTTCTCTCTCTCTCTCTCTCTCTCTCTCTCTCTCTCTCTCACTCTCTCTTCCCTCTACACTCTCTCACTCTCGCATCTCTCCTCTTTCTCACTCTCACATTGCATCTCTCCTCTTCGCATCCTCAACGCAGCCGTCACTGTCCGCGACGCCGGAGTCGCTGTCCACCTCACCGTCGTCTCTGCCGTTCGTCTCCTCCTCAGCGCAACCTTCACCTCCATTGACTCCGCCGTTCGCTCCACTTCCATCGCTGCCCTCTTTCAGATCTGTGTTGATCTCGTCCGATCTACGCCGATCAGCCGTTCGTCGCCGCCGATCAGCCGATCTACGCCGATCTCCTCCGTCGTCCTCTCTTTTCTGTGTATACATGTATGTGCATGTCTCTGTGTATATATAATGTATGTGTGTGCTTGTGAATGTATACATGTGAGTATGTATGTATGTATGTATGTATTTGTTGAATGTTGTTGAATGTCTCTGTGTTGAATGTATACATGTGAGTATGTCTCTGTGTTGAATGTTGAAACAGATTTGGATCGGGGAACTTTCGGAGTCGGGGAAACCTGATCCCCGTTGGGGGCGGGGACGGGGACCGTGATAGGTTCCCCGTCGCGAATCGGGGCCGGGAACGGGAAAGTTTTGGCCATCAGGGATCGGGGACGGGGAGTGGGATCCCCGGCCCCGCCCCGTTGCCATTCTTACCTTCGTCACAGCCTTAGGAGGCCACCGATGCCGGCAAAGGCTTGAAGAAGAAGAAGATCTAAAGCTCACCTACGACTTTCCGCACCATCGTCTTCACATCACATTCACGCCGTCGCCAATCCAACATCAACATCTACAGATCTGTAGATCCGCCTATCCTAACCCTAGATCTAGACCACCACCGTGGTCTGGCAGCGAATATGAAGACGAAGATGAAGAGTCCAATGATGATATGGTTTTGTACAGTCAAAGATATTGGGTGTGGATCCAGAATTGGTCAATAAGGAAAATGAGATCTGGAGATCTGGTTCCATATTATAAATGTGTATGTATATATATATATATTTCTCTACTTACATGTGTATCAGTTGCATGTGAATATATATATGTATTTCAAAGTTCTGTGTTTGTTGATTGTTGATTTTGATGTTATTTTCTCTTTGGTTCCCAAGAGAATGAGGGAAAAGTTGAGAAATTAATCATTTGAACATCAAAGCAACAATGAGAATAAGACTATATTTGGTTTTCTTGTTGTGTTTCTGTGTTTTTCTCAGCAACCAAACACACAGGGTTATCAATACTTGACACTTAGTGTGATTCAAACTCGATATTCTACTTAGATCATAGTATTTTTCTGTTTTACATATCAGTCTATTTTACTGCTATCATATTGAGGTGTTGGCTAGTTTATGCGCCTTTGTACAAGTTTTTATTTATTATTTATATTTTTTTGTTGTTTGATCTTGTGAAGAGATATGTTGTTGTTGTTGAATTTAAATAGATAGATTTTCAAAACATAGGGATTTGTTGTTATTGTTGTTGTGTCGTGGAATTTGAATTTTATTTGTACAAATAGTGAGAAGAGAGATAAAAGAATTTGAATAGATAGATTGCAATAGATAGATTTTTTTCAACAAATAATTTCAACATATAGATTTTTTGAATAAGATAACTTGAACAGGTAGAGAGAAATCTATGTAATTTAAACAGATAGAGAGAAACCCACAGAATTTAAATAGACAGGGAAAAAAAATTAAATACATAGGGTAAAAAAATTGAACAGATAAGAAAAAAAATTAAACAGATAAGAAAAAAATTAAACAGATAGGGAAATTTTTTGAATAGATTGGGAAAATTTTTTAACATATAGGAAAATTTTTTGAACTAATAGTCAACAAAAGTTATTAGATAAATTAAGGGATAAAATTGGAAACAAAATATCTTTTAAAACAAATAAAAGGACTTCTCACTAAACTATTTCACAAAGGGTGGATTTCTGATCAATAAAAAATATCTACTGAACCTAATGTTTTATACCCTCCTTAGTTTAGATTTATCACTAATTTAATCTTAAATGAATCAAAGTCAAAAACACAATTTAATTGAATTTCTACTATGGCAAGAGATAACTAAATAATAACCTATTTCAAACAAGGGTTTGGCTTCTTTTACATTAAGATGACAACTTTAGAAAACGCTTGGGCTTGGTAGGTTTATTTTTTAATAGATTTTGGTGATCTGAGTTGTTGACTCTTTAAAAGTAGTTTCGTAGAATATTCATGCAGAAAATAAAAATAATTGGATATCGGTAGCTATATGTTTGAATCATATTTGTTTTTAAAAGATAAACGACAAATATAATTTCAAAAATAACTATTCATTTTTTTGTAATACAAATTTGATTCAAACATATAGTTATTGATTTTCTGATCATCTTGATTTTTATATGAATATTCTACTTAACAAATCCTAAAAAGTAAATGATTCGAATAATCAAAATCGATGCCAAAATAGACGTACTAAGTCCAAACGTTCGCTCAAGTTAAGATAACCAATATGAAAGAAGCCTAATTTTTCCGACATGTCCTTATCAATAATCATCAAACAAGTTTTTACCCTTGATCTAATATCTTTTACTCTTTTTGGGATGGACTTTTCACAAATTTCTTCTCTTTGAGTTTGGCTTCTCTCAAGTTGGCCATCTCATTGAGTTTGGCTTCTCTCAAGTTGGCCATCTCAACTTAAGAGAGCGTTTGAACTTAGTAGACTTATTTTAGGACGGAATTCAATGATCCAAACTATTTAATTTTTAGAACTTGTTGAGTAGAATACTTATACAAAAAATAAAGATTATCGGATAACAATAGTTATATGTTTAAATCAAATTTGTATTAGAAAAAATGTAACGCCCTCAAAATAATAACATTAAACCCATTAAACGAGACATGCATTGATATCCAAACGTTCCACATTCATTCATTTATCAGAGTTTCATTACAATAAGTATTACATGTTAACCACAAAAGCAAATGCCCTATGGGCTTACAGCTTTCCAAGCTAACACTTGGTTACAACAAAAGAGTACTAACTCATACATATTAAGCCCTTGGCTTGAATTTACATGTAATACATCAAAAAGTAAAACGACAAAAGTATGTCCGCCTCTAGCCTCCCAAGCTATGTCCTTGGAGGTGGCATGCTACCAGTACCTGAAAATGATATTCTCATATAGTTTGAGCCACAGCCCAGTAGAAATACACTAAACCAACCATGGACAATGACTAAAAGATTAGAAATTGATAGATGGCCAACACTGATACATTCACATAAATCACATATTTATGCCACACGACTTATCAGTCTATTTTACTGCTATCATATTGAGGTGTTGGCTAGTTTATGCGCCTTTG